TTAGTAGTGAAGTGAGGATCGTACTATCCATTTTGTGTGTTATTTTTAGTGTTTTCAGGATGTAACCATAGCTGATAACGACCATAAATCTGGAGGGAGATTTAATTCCCAAATGGTAAATTCGTATGCCTATTGAAAATTTGATGAAGAAAACCTGTGAACTTTGCTGAGGAGGAAACAACTGCCTCTTAGCAAAACTTGTTTCTTGGGTTTGTCCGTATGGTGGATGAGTAAAGACAAGGACAATGTACACTTTATGTACTAAGAGGTCTGAATGATGCTTTACACAGCAGTTGTAGTTGCCATGGGTACACTCATTTTACTTCAAGTTCTGTGCTTTTCACAGCAAACTCATAATGTGTGAATAAGAGATGTGCATCCTAAAATAACCATGTACCAATGCTTGAGAGCTCCTGCCAGTCCAAGCTTCTAGGTGTGTGTTCACAAGTGTTTACAGATACACAATAGCTGCGTTAAGTGTGGAGGAATGAGTTTTCTAACTTTTCTGTTGGCTTCCGGTGCACTGAACATCAGCTGACTAGCAGGCAGAGCTCTTGCCATTATGGAGATAAATGGATGGGAGAAGCATCTGCTATGTAGCTTCTGCTATAAAGGAACAAAAGGAAGGGCCAATACAAAAGTTGGCAACCCTGCTGGATGTTCTGTAGCAATAATGTATGATTATAGTTGGCTTTGGGGAGAGGAAATAAATGGCAGAATTGGCAAGATTCTGTATTGTGTGTCTGTGTGTATCCAATCTCCCCAATTTTGCATTTGGGCTTTTTTTTTTTTTTTTGATGACTGTAACAGCTGCTGAACTTCATCTTGGAGGAGGAGGAGGAGGATTGCAGGGCTCAGTAAAAATCCCCAGTGATTTCTTTGACACCATAATTAAGAGTAATTAAAACCTTCAAGCTTCAAAGTCTGCCTACATATCCAGAAATAAAACCTCCCATATTTAATTACTTTCATACAATATGATGGGTTGTGGGAGTGCTTTTTAAATCTCTTCTCCGGGATACAAAGATAGAGCTGATGGACAGCTTGCAATAGATAGGTATCATTATGAGCAAATTTCACCTTTACAATAGACATTTTCCAGGGTTTTTTCCCCCTACTTTTAATCTTGAGTCAGGTAGGTTCTTTAAGTAAATGTACGGATACCTTGAGAGTAAAGATAGGCAAGGTCCAAGTTGCAGATTTTGGAAACATAATAGCATCTGTTTTTGTTTTTTAAATGGAGATATGGTTTTCCAAATGTCAGCATTAAACAAAATGTTTTCAAGAGTATTAGAATATTCTCTTTGCTTACGGTTGCAAAAGTTTTTATTCTGTCACAAACCTATGCAATTACGACCGCATGTTAACACACCACCAATCAGAACTCTTAGTTCATACCCCAAATGGCAATTTAGGGCTTTTGAAAAAGTCTGTAAATTTTAACAATCCATTACCCCGGGAGAGGGAGGAATGACATTACCTATTTTTTTGGAGGAAAAAGGGGGGAGGGAATGAATTAAAATGTATTTTTAAAGAAATGCAGCCAGTAGGACAGAAAGAGAGAAATATGGTTTCTACATGTCAGCATCCTGGTATACTCTGAAGAGTTTACACAATGAATCCAGATGTGCTTTTTGATTACAATTTTTTTCATTTTTTAAATAAGGTTTTCTTGCAGGCAAAATGCAAGAGCTTAGAATGTTAGCTTTCTTCTTTTCATTTTGAAAGGAGTGGAGAAAAGAAACTAGGGCTGTGGCCACACGGGCAGGAAAATGCGGGGGGGAAGCGTGGCTGTTTGCCCCGGGGCACAATACCGCACAGATGCGGGATCAGACGTACCGGCGAGGTCCCGTGGTTAGGGTGGAGGTGCTGATCACACGAGTGTCCGCACCTCCACAAAGAGCATCCGGCCGATGGAAAGGGGATGGAGCCGCCGCCTCTGGGAGGACCGTGCACAGCCCACTCCGGGCAGGGTCCTGGGCCGCTCACGGGGAGGGGAGGGGGGGGGAACCCGCCAGGTGCTTCCAGAGGCATGGGGGGGGACAACCTGGCGGGCGCCGGATGCCACGGGAGTCGGCAGGGACACGATCAGGCACCCGCTCTTGCCGCGCAGTTCCCAGAAACTAGTACCTCGGAGGTACTAGTTTTTTACTGTGCGGCTTCGGCGGGAAGCTTCGGGTGAGCCACGGGAGCTCTACGCTCCCCAGATGTTGTGGTGAGATCTTGCCCGGAAAGTCCGCCTCTCTTCCGTCTATGCAGCGTGGCTAATGCTCCGTGTGACCACAGCCTATACAAGCCAAACAGTGTAATTCTTAAATGCATTTGAAAAAATGGGAGAAGTGAATATTCCTGTGGAAGTCACAGAGCCATCATGGATGGTCAGTTTCAATCACAGGGTGGTATCACATCCATCCCAATTTCATAAATGGGCGCAAGTGTCAAGGCAAGTGGAATTGATCCCTTCTACCATGCTGTATGCTTCTTTACTGACGGAAACTGTTTTACAAGTGCTAGGGTGTAATCGTAGCAGCCCTAATAGCCCATATCAGCCTGATCTCATCAGAGCTTGGAAGCTTAGTAGGATGGGTACTTGAATGGGAGACCACCAAGGAAGACTGGGGCTGCTATGCAGAGGAAGGAAATGGCAAGCCACCTCTGCTCATCTCTTGCCTTGAAAGCCCCACGAGGTGAGGTTAAGAACACAACATAAGAACATAAGAGACGCCAATGTTGGATCAGGCCAAAGGCCCATCCAGTCCAACACTCTGTGTCACACAATGGCCAGAAATACCAGGTGCCATCAGGAGGGCCACCAGTGGGGCCAGGACATTAGAAGCCCTCTCACTGTTGACCCCCCCCCAAGCACCAAGAAGACAGAGCATCACTTGCCCCAGAGTCCCTATCTATACCTTGTGGCTAATAGCCACTGATGGACCTCTGCTCCATATGCGTATCTAATTCCCTTTTGAAGCCGTCCATTCTTGTAGCCGCCACCACCTCCTGTGGCAGTGAATTCCATGTGTGAATCACTCTTTGGGTGAAGAAGTACTTCCTTGAGGTTGCCATGAGTCAGTTTAAACTGGGTGGCATGCTTCACCTTTAGGGCATAATTGCTGTGATTTTGTAGAATGTATTTTATTGTGAAGCTCAAAAGGGTGTGAAACTTGTATGGAAGAGATCTATGTCCAAATCCATGAGCAGTCATGATGCTCACAGTGCGGTTGTAAGCAGGCCCTTCTTAAACTTATCTGCCTCAGGCCCCTGCCACACGGCAGGGGATAAGTCGCTCAAAGCGCGGCTTTTAAAAACCGCACCAAAGTTGAGACGCCGCGGCGGGATCCCACAATCCCCTGGGCCGCGGCGCCTTTTCTCCCCGGCACGATCAGATGCCGGGGAGAAAACACAGTTCAGACGGGGAGCCTGCCGAACTGCGCATGTCGGAGCATGCGCAGTTCGGCTAGGAGCCGGGGATGAGCCAGCGCAAAGACGCGCCGGCGATCCGACGGGCCGGCTTGCGGCGCTTCAATCAGAAGCACCACTAGGTTAGGTGGTTCTTTTTGGTGCGGGTTTTCGGCCGGGAGAGACGGATCGGAGACGGGTAGGCAACGATTCCCAGATGTTGCTGTGAGATCGTGCACATTTGCTGCGTCCCCGTTCTGTCTCGCTCCCGGACCAAAACCCCTCGTATGAACAGGACCTCACAGGGATATTGGGAGGATACTACAGTAAAGAGTCAAAGAATGATACAGTTAGAGTTATTGTTTGGAAGAGAGGCTATCTGCCTCCTGGTGTTGTCTGGGCAGAAGAAGCTGTGTTGTAGTTGCTGGAGGTTTTGCAGGGAGGGCTTCTAGGTCCAAGTGGTTTTATATGTAAATAAAACATGTTAATTTCCTTCACAAGCAGCTGGGATTGGTTCCTTGGGAGAACCTGGTAGGATCTTTCTAAGTTCCCATTATAATAGGTACAATGAGATAACTGTAGAGTGCGGCACGCTGAGCTCCTTGTAGGAGAATTGGGATACGAATCTTACATGTGTGCTTTTGTGATGGTTCCGTGAAAGTGCGGAGCCTTTGGGGTGGGGTGTAGGGTTACCTTTGCCCCAATCATGCCCTTCTGGTTTTGCCCCATGCAACATTCTGATACCTCTTTGTATCTGTGAGAGTGTGGCTGTCAAATAACCACAACGGGCCATACTGCAATGCTGGACGAGCAGCCTAAATTCTTCAAAACACAGCCATGATACTACACTAGCATAGCTGCCATAACGATCTGGTTTCAGCAAATCAATATTCAAGTAGCTTATAAGACTAGACCATTAGAGAAGCAAGTGCAGTAACAGAACACACATCAAGTATGCAGATACATTACTGATTTTATATGTGTATTTCTCCATACAGCCTTTTCTTTCTGTTGAATTCTTTAAATGTTATGACAGCCTATGTAATCAGACATGTTTTAAACAAGATTTTTGAAGAAATTCTGTTGAGATCAAAAGGAGGGCTCTTCTTTGTTTCTTTCAGAGGGTGGTACAACACGGGCAAGTGTGCTCTAAGGTGTAATGGCTGCTTTTAGCTTAATTGCAGATTGCATTTAAGTGCCTATGAGTGACAGGATACACTTGATATCTGTACTTTTTTTGTTTTTTAAAGGGCCAAGCTGAAATGCCACTGAAATTACACAAAGAAAGCCTGGCTATAAGCCTTTGCAGGTTTACTCAGTGATAACTCCTCCTTGTATGCAGCCTTAAGACTTTTGAATCACTTATATAATTCATATATATATGAATATATATATATATGAATATTGCATAGTGTACTGTATTGCATAGTGTACTGTTGCAATGATAGAAACCTAATCCTAAAAATAAGACATGAAAAATCTGTGCTGTCTCTGTTTGTGGTGGGCGTGTATTATGGGAAAATTAAATAAATGACTGAGGGTCTCGAAAATTCTTCTTCTTTTGTTTGCACCAAATATTTATTTGATTCTTCCATTTACAGGTACCAGCATTTTTACGGTTTATGAAGCAGCTTCTCAAGAAGGCTGGGTCTTCCTGATGTACCGAGCGATTGATAGCTTCCCACGATGGCGTTCCTACTTCTATTTCATCACCTTAATTTTCTTCCTTGCTTGGCTTGTTAAGGTACTGTAGAAATGGTTCTGGCAAAGCTACTCAGAATATAAATCAGGCTACACTGGACTCCTTTTGTGTCTCTACTCTGTTCTACCTGTCGTGTTTCAGAGTGAGCCATTGCTTTTAAAGATCTGTAATTCTTTTGCAGAACGTGTTTATCGCTGTCATCATTGAGACATTTGCTGAAATCCGTGTACAGTTCCAACAGATGTGGGGATCCAGGAGCAGCACTACTTCAACTGCTACAACACAGGTAAGTATCGCCGAAATGACTTTGAATGCTTAAATCCCCGTTGTTTTTGGCATGGATTCTTGCTTGTCCAGTAACACGCTTTGTTCAGCTGTACAAACACTGTCCTGTTATATACCCAGTTCAGAATTAGCTGCTTTCAACACCTGCCCAGTTCAGTATCTATGCAATTTGGTAATGGCATATATGCAGTTTGTCAGTCCTAATTAGATAACAAAGAAAGGTTTGGTGGGTGGATGCTTTTTGCCTGAGGGGCTATTGGTTAAGGAACAATGAGATGCTTTGAACTCTAGCGGTTGTATGAAACTAACAGCAGCCAAGGCTCCTCAGACAGATGGACACAGCATCATGCGGAAGCAAAGATTTGGCAAGCGGGAGGGAAGCAATGCGGGAATGAACTGGCATGCTATGAAGTGAAGGTACAAGAAGGAAAGCTGTCCAGAATAAAGATGGAGGTGGAGGCATGACCCTGTGGCAAGAATGAGTGATGTCTTATGGCAAAAGTGCCCAGACTTATTGACCCTCCATATATTAATCTTCAGAAGATGAAGAGCCATGAGATGTATTTTTTTGTTGTTGTTTTTTGGGAGGGTTGTTGTTTTTTTGCCAATACTCCACTGTGTAAAATATTAAGTTTGTACTTATTGTATCATGGCTAATTAGTTAAAGTGTGAGTTCATAACATAGTACCATTTTAGAATGAATGACTTACTGAACCTCTCCTGTATAAGAGGTTGGGGGAGAGCGGAAGAGAACTGTAGAATGCCATCAGCTCATGACCCTCTTGAATCCAAGTGAAGGATTAACTAGACCTTGTGCGTAAGAATGCAAGTCCGCTGCACAGATGTAAAGTAGGAGTGGTGGGATAAGTTTTAAAGCAGACAAGCAGCAGACACGAGAGGGAGATAAACAGAATATGTTGAAACAGCAGTTGTCAAACTTTAGTGACACCAAAGGACCCCGATTTTAATTTTAAAATTTTCATGGACCACCTGCAGTCCCTGATGGCCAGACTGCCTCTTTTCAAAATATGGGGCAAGCTGTGAATCCTCCACAACCACTTCTGTCCTCTGTTATCCTCAGAGCAGTACCATAAGAACCACGTCAGATCCCCTACGGGGGGGCAAAAAAAAAAAAAGAACCATGTCAGATACGCTTCACTTTTGTATTGCCTGTTTGTGGCCTACAGAGTCAGGTCTCAGAGGAGTGGATTCTATAGGGCCACTATTCAAAAGGCCCTGAGCCAAGTTATAATCAACCCCACCCCTTGATTGGAAGTGGATCACAAACCTCCAGCAGTACCTCATGACCCAGTGGGGTCCTTACACCCCAGTTTGAGAAACACTGTCTTAAACCATTCCAACAACTCATTAAGGCAGAAACTTACAAACCCTCCTTCTGGAGGCTGAGCTTTTATTTAAACAAAAAAGTACAAACATAAACAAATACACAGTTCTAGAGGGAGAAAGCATGGATCCAAAACACTGTTTCTACAGTTGATAAATCTGAATCATGCAAAAGTTAAATTATATTGTTGTTGTTGTTCAGTCGCACAGTCGAGTCCGACTCTTCGCGACCCCATGGACCAGATCACGCTAGGCCTTCCTGTCTTCTGCCGTCCTCTGAAGTTTGCTCAATTTCATGTAAAAAGTGATTTATAACAGTGTGTGAAGAGGAAATGGAGCAGTTCCTCTGGAACTGCAGCCCTGATCAAGTATATTCATTCTTCTTCCCCCTGCCAAAGCTGCTCCCCACACACTCCACTGCAACTCTTTGTAGAGTGTTCACAGACATTTCAAAGGTGAAGGAATCATTCAAGAACAGAGGTCATTTCGGGGGGGAACACAGGGGAATGCAGTTCCCCCGGGTGAGGTACTGGGGGCGGGGCACATGACGAAGCCCCGCCCCCCGCTTCCGGCCGCCCCGCTTCCGGCCCTCATTCAGCCAGGAGGAGGTAGGAGAAGAGGGAGGGTAAGTTGCTTCCTCCCTGCCTCTCCCCACCCCTGCCTGCCTGGGGCCAGGGAGGGCCTTTGCGGGGCTTCCTTGCACTCCCACCGGCCTTGCAGGTCCACCGCCGGGCCCCTCATGGGGCTCGGTAGTGGAGCTGCAAGGCCGGTGGTGGCGGCCGGGACCATTGGGGGCGGGGCGTGTGGCCTTATGACACATTTCCGGTGATGTCAGGGGGTGTGGCATATGCTAATGAGTTATGCTAATGAGTTCCCCTAGCTCTTTTTCTACGAAATGACCCCTGTTCAAGAACATGGGGCCCCTTTCATGACAAGTCATGTGAACATTTGTGTTGTATTAAGGGTGATGGTGCCAGAAAATATCTAATATGACATTCTTAACAGAGACCTTACTGGGGTGATGTTGCTGTAAAGATCCAGGCTTCCAGCAGCTGGCCCATTGGTCTTCCACCCTCTTGTAGTGCCTGGCTACCTTTGGGAGGGGCTGGTGGTGGCCTTAGACTCAGAGAGGTGAGGGATTTCCTATATCTTATTCCTCCTCTACTGCTTGATCTCTCCTCCACAGCATAAAGAGTACTTGGGAGTTCCTCTCCATCCTTCCTTCTGGATCTTCTTGAAACCCAGACAAAGCCTTGCATAGGGTGTGTCCTGATCTCTGAGCTCCCACAAGACAGTGGAGGTGTATGGGAAGCAAAGAGGCCACAAGTGCAGTTGACACCCTCACCTGTCCCCTCATCCGCTGGTTGGATGGATGGCCAGGCTCAGTTGTTCATGCTGCTGGTGGCAGCTTAAAAGCCCCCCCCCCAGCTACAGAGTTGCCACCAGGATAAAGAATGGCCCCCAAATTGTCTCTAGTGCCTCCATTGGCAGACCCTGCAGCATGACTGAGGCTGGCTTCACCCCCCGTTGAGGCTTGGGACCAGGCAGCCACAGAACAATTTCTTGTCCCATTCCCCCTCCCTGCTTTTGAGTATCTATAGCTCCAAATAAAGTTGTGTTGGAGTTCATTTCCTGTTGAGTGAAGTCTGCATACATATAATTTTTAAGCATTAGTGCTGTCAGATTATCAGTTCTTAGGTTATCTTTGTGTGTATGTCTAAATGCATATACACAAGGCATGGAATCCCCGCTATTTGTACCTGTGTTGTTGTTGCTGTCAAGTGACAGCTGACTTATGGTGACCCTGTAGGATTTTCAAGGCAACAGACATTCAGAGGTGGTTTACCATTGCCTACCTCTGTGTCACAACCCTGGTACTCCTTGATGGTCTCCCATCCAAATTTTAGCCAGGGCCAACCATACTTAGCTTCTGAGATCCGACAAAAATGGGCTATCCAAGTCAGGGCATTTGTACCTAATCGCCCAATAAAAGCTCTATATTGTCCGTTCTCTGATTTATGGCTTCTTCCCACCCTACCGATCTTCACTGTCTCATTTTAAGCAGTTATACTGTCAAGCTGTCAGCTCTTCCCTTCCTCCAAACTACATATTGAATTAATACCACATTTTTATCCTTCCATTCCTTCTGGACAGCCTACACAGGGTTGCCTCCCCCTACTCGTGCTGTAGTATTGTGAGACAGGTTAGACCAAGAAATAGTGATTTGTATCCAATTTCTGCTTTCTGCTGTTGGAAGGAGTTCCCTAATGATGGAGAAGGGGGTAATTTCCCCTGATTCCCCCATCTTGTTTCAGACCCCTGCATTGTACCTAACACATATACCTGAAGCAGCATTTCAGGTGGCATGGCGGGCTACAGAGGGATGGCTGGGAAAGTCCTGTATCACAAGACCCGCTTTGCTCACAGATGTCTCATTGGAAACAAGCCAGTGACTGGCCCTGTTTGTCACCCATTGCGCTTTATCGTTGATCACAAATTTGAATTTGGGTCCATCTAGTCAAAATCCAGATTTATCATACTATATCACGTTGGCTCAATCCCACTGAATTGTTCCAGCAGCCCCAGCACCTGTCCCCTAATCAAATTATCCATGGGAGACCTGCACATCTAACATGTCCTTGATTCTTCCCTCACAGCGGAAACCAAGAAAAACATAAGACCTTTGGCAGATGGGCTGCTTTCCTATAAGAGTAACTTGAAATATTACAAAATCTATTCAACAAACCCTTTCATGTAGGAACTAATGTGCAGCCCACAGGAAAATCATCATATGTGACAATCATACACTCATATTTTGCTGCTTATACACCCACCTAAAAACTGCAGACATTTAGATTTTCGTAGCATAAAACTATTACCAGATTTATACAGTCTTCTAGAATGTTCAAAATGTTTCACATACGTTCTCTCAGGATGTACAACCCTGTAGACAGGCCAGACTTTGTTGTCATCATATATATATATACCCAATGCCTACACACATAAGATCCTATGACTCACTTCTACTAAGTCAAATTCTATGACACTGTTCCACTAAGTCTTCCTCCAACACAGAAAAAGATTCCTTTAACAAATACTGACTTTATCCATCATACAAAGTCATTCTCCATTGGAGATAGATCAAGATGGGTAGCCATGTTAATCTGTAGCAGTAGGAAAGAGCAAGAGTCCAGTAGCACCTTAAAGATTAACGTACCTTAGTCCAGCCTTTGGTACCTGCCCAGTGCTGTTTATTATCTGTGGAGCACTATATTTTATTATATATCTGATTAAAAATTGTTATAAATCAGGCCATCTACCATCACTTGTTAAAATGTCACAGGAGATGTTGGATTACTCGTGTTCAATGCCACCTTGTTTTAATTGCTTAGTTGTTTAACTGTTTTTATATCTTGGTTTTTATTGTTTTTATTATGTTGTGAGCTGCCCTAAACCCATTCGTGGGGTAGGGCAGGATATAAGTTAATTAAATAAATACAATTTGTGGCAGGGGATGAACTTTCTTGAGTCACTGAAGAAGTGAGCAATGACTCACGAAAGCTCATGCCCTGCCACAAATCTTGTTAGTCTTTAAAATTCTCCATTGCAGGAAGTCTTTCTCTGTTGAAGGAAGACTTAGTAGAAGAGTGTCATAGGATCCTACTTACCAGAAGAGAGTCATGGCATCTAACTCATAGGTACTGGACAGTATCCTACCTTAAGCTGGAGAAAGTCCCTTTAACCTCAGGAGCCTTCCTCCAGTGTAAGTGATTCTTCCTTGGACTGGAGGAAGGCTTAGCTCTTTGCTTAATGGGAGTGGTAGCATACGGGCCATTGTATATGTCCAAATGCATACTGCAAAATACATGTGTGTGCAGTTGCTACAAACGGAATATGTACAAATCGGATGCACGGTAAATTCTGCCGTGAAAGGATTTTTCTTGCAGGAAGCTGTAACATTTTAGATGACCTTTAAATCTACATCTTGTTTGCAGCAGACCAGACAGATCCTATACCCAGTAACAGAACTGCATCCTTCAGTTAACAAAATAGTTAACTGCAGTTAACAAAATAGTTTTAAGATTTGTGATTGTGCTGAAATTTGCAATTACTGGGCTTGGTGCCTGAACTTGGCAGCTTACAATGCTTGCTGCATTTGGGGGTGACTCTAAGAATTCCATGAATGAAACTTCCATTGTTTTTTTTCCCCCTCTTGAAAACAAAGAGGAGCCCAGTTCCAAGCAGGGCCACAGCAAGTGGTCTCCCAATACCATTTTTTCAACCTGAAATAGCCATAGAAAGCTGCTGTTTTTTCCCAACTGGGCAAATACAGGTACTGATGTGGGCACCTGTATGTTTACCCCAGTGGGGCAAATTGTAACCCCCTGGGTTTATTTTAGGTTGGGAGAATGACATGAGGGAAGGCTTTAACACCCTATCTCTCATGTTCCAATACTACTCTAACTCAGACTCTCCTTGGAATTTTCAACATCCTGGGTAGCTGAGCCCTGAGAGTTGTCTGCTCTGATCAAAATCCATGCCAGTAAAGAACCCTGCTCTGTGAAATGAAGTTTTCCCAAAATGCCCGTCATTCACATAGACATTGGCCATGTTGGGAATCATCTGTCCATAGTTTTCTTCAGGGGTCATTTCGTAGAAAAAGAGCTAGGGGAACTCATTAGCATAACTCATTAGCATATGCCACACCCCCTGACATCAGGGGCCCGGCGGTGGACCTGCAAGGCCAGCGGGAGTGCAAGGAAGCCCCGCGAAGGCCCTCCCTGGCCCCAGGCAGGCAGGGGTGGGGAGAGGCGGGGAGGAAGCAACTTACCCTCCCTCTTCTGCCTCCTCCTGGCTGAATGAGGGCTGGAAGCGGGGCGGCCGGAATTAGGGGGCGGGGCTTCGTCATGTGCCCCGCCCCCCTGCACCACCCCCCGAAATGACCTCTGGTTTTCTTGTGCCTTTTCAGCTCAGTTTTGACATGAACCAAGCTGAGATCTGGTATGTGTTTTAAATAGTCCAGTTTTCTGAATACCGTGCCATATCAAACTAGTGGAGCTCACCCATTGCTGACGGGTATTGTTCAAACATTGCATATGAACGGATGGGATTCTCACCATTTAGGACACATCTATTTCCAGTTCTGACATATTTATTACCTATGTTGTGTCCCCCCCCCCCCGCACTAAACCACAAAAAAAAATAACAAAAAACCATTTGATCTGTTAAAAAAAATCCTTCACTATTTTGCATGCTAATTTAACAAGCCACCCCTATGTATACAACTATGATATGTAATTCCACTTCATTGTCTGACAAAGTGTGCATGCGCATGAAAGCTCACAGCTTGAATAAAACTTTGTTGGTTTTAAAGGTGCCATTGGTCTCTGACTTTGCTCTCTTGCTTCAGACCAACATGGCTGCCCCACCTTGATCTATCAATGGGACTCTGGTTTCATTTTCCTATTAAAGCAAAAGATTTCTTTCTAGAAGGGAATCATCAGAGTGCACAAGCAGTCCAGAAATGGAGTATCAAGAGGAAATATACATTTTGTTTGTGTCTCTCTGAATGCGTAAAACACTTCTGACCATTTCCCCCCCCCTTTTCCAGATGTTTCATGAAGATGCTGCTGGAGGATGGCAGCTAGTAGATGTTGATGTGAATAAGCCTCAGGGCAGAGCTCCTGCGTGTCTACAGGTACAGCTTTGCATTTTAATAAAGCTACCAGTATAGCATACTTAGTGGGGGATGTTACGTTAAAATGGTGGCAGCAAGAGAAAAAATTCTCCACGGCCACAATTTATGTTCAGACACTGCTCTAAATTCAATATCTGTCTGCCAGTTCTGTTTGTAAGGGCTTTTGGCACATTGGGATTGGTTCCTATTATTATTATTATTTTGCTTTTATATGTTGCTGGATACTAAACTGATGCTGATAGCTTTTCACTGTTGATGATGGTTTTCGTTTGGTATTGCATTTAATGCTGTTGCAGTTATTATGCTGGCTTGATATTTTCATCATAATGGTTGTATTTTTTAAACATGCTGCAGTCGGCCCTGGGCAGGCCCATTTTATGGATGGATAAGATGATGGCGGATGTACACAAAGGAATGCTTGAAGGGGATGAATTAGTTTTAGAAGTTTCTATAGGGCTGTGTTACTGCTGATTACATGGATGATGAACAACAACAACAACGAAAGACTGCAAGGACTCTCTTCAGTATTCACCCATGTGTCACATTTGAGCTTGGAAACGTGAGGATTTGGGGGATCCTTTGGCAAGGCTTGTTCACTTGCAGTGCAACCGTGAGCAGAGTTATACCCTTTTAAGTTGGGTGCGGGTATAACTTTACTTCGACTTGCACTGTGGTCCCTTTAATTAGGAAAAAGTGCAACCCAGGATTCTCTCAACTGCCTCTGTCCTCTAGACAGATGCAAAGTGAGAAGTACCATGCTGTTTAGGCAATGGGACCTTTGTGAATCTTGGACCCACAATAAATTCTTGACCGTTGCCTTTTGGAGCCAGCACTGACCAGCCAGGTGAACCAGGAATCAAGGAAAATAACCAATATTTAACCTGTAGGCAGAAATAGAAATGTGTAATTCATGAGCATTTTGTAGCACAGCTTTGCTGTCAGCACTTACATTGCACTGAACATTGTGGAAGAATCTCTCTTTTACAGCTGTGGCATTTTCAACAGTAACCTGGCGCTTACAAGATTCTCCAAGAACCTCTGCAGCTTAGAGGCACATTTCACATTATAATTGCCTGGAGTTACGGTGGACATGTAGTCGAAAACAAGTGCAGACACAGACTAGGTTGTCAGTAATACATTTTGACATTTTTTTTCTTTTGTGTTTACTTTTTCACAATTCCTGTAAGACCCAAGGACAAAACTAAATCAAAGGTAGACATTAAGCAAACTCTGTTCACAGAAAGAAATGCATACCTTGCCTCACAAAAGTGGGGCTTTGTCTTTATTTACATGCTAGAGAGCAATGCTCATTAATGAATTGGTGGCACTTCAAAGCACACACTCAAAAGAATTACAGTAATCAAATCACCTTGTCCGTGTGTTTCTGGAAACAGCCTTGATAAATGTTTACTTCAGCTTTTGTTCCTGCAGACAATAAGGTCTGTTCAAGGCAATACACTGGGGGGAATCCCTCCCAATGCTAGGAAATTGCATAAAAAATTAAAAGTAACACATTTGGGATTTGGCATAAGAACTCTCCAGTGGAAACAAAAGGGAAGAGCGCTATATCGATGCCTATAGTTGTGTCACTGTGCTCATATTGGATCTACAAACTACTTTAAAAAAAACCAAACGTTCATTAAGAAGTGGATTGTGTAATCTGGGAAAGAAACTGAGACAATTTCTAAGGGGGAATCTGTTCCTTGTGTAGAAGCTGTAATTGTGCTCCTTTGAACTGTGGGCCCTCTTTTTCTGTATAAGTAAGGCTGAATCAGATTAGGAAGGGGTATATGAAATGTATATTCTATTGAAAAATGGCACCTTCTGATTTGCACCCATTTTTCAGAGTTCATTCATTGGACAGCTTAGAAAGGGATGAAAATGTTCATGCGTGGCCTCTTTCCAGCCCTAGTAGCTTTTAGGCAGTGGCAACTATCCCATCCTCACAAATAAAAGTAGTATTTTTTTAAAAAAAAAATATTTGCAGCTGTGACTGGTGCCATTTTTTTCTGTTCAAACAAGTCTCTTCCTTTTTGACAAACATGGTGAAGCTATTGTGTAGCCAGTGAGATTTGGCTGCATGAGGATATCACGGAGGGCAAATGTATTAATGCAAAATAAGGGAATTCCTTTGCTTACTCTTATTTCACATAAGATTCATTTGCCCTCCATGGCATCCCCATGCAGTCAAATCTCAGTCACTCCCTTCTGGCTTTATTGGGTTTGCAAGAAGAGAAAAGACCAACTTCAAAAGGAAAAAAAATTATGACAAGATGGCCAAGCAAAGATGCAAGCTCCCGTAAAAAAAGTGTGAACGGGGTTCATATTAGGAAGAGTTTTAGGCAACATCTCCCCTTCCCCTAAAAGTTATTCCTGTGCCAGAAAATTGTCACAATTGAACACTTGATGCTTTCCTAGTACCCAGCATTCCATCATACTTAACCATGACCAAGAAACACAAAGTGGGCCCACGGCTGAGAGTGACTCATTCCGAGTAACTGGGGTCACCAGGAGAGAGCCACCCCTTCTCTTTGTTTCATTTAAGGGAATAATTTCCTTTCACTTCTATGCAGAAAATAAAGCTCTGTACTTTACAGCACTGCAGACCTCAAAATCTGACACCCACTGTGGGTGGTCTAGCGCTACAGATAGGGATCCTGCGTTGCGGCTAATGTGCTTTGCCTCCGGGACTCCTTGCAGAATAGAGGCCTATTTCCAACCACACATTCAGAAGTCTTAAGGACTCTCAAGTTTTCTTGAGAGGGGGCAGTGATTTCTGCTGGTTCTCCCACCACCACTGCAGAACCCCAGTTTCCCCCTATGCTGTTCCTGAAGGTCTGCTGATTTGGGAAGCTTAGTGGGAGGGGGAATTGGCGGAATCCTCAACCCCCTCTTAAGAAAATGTATGGCCTTAAGTTTTTGAAACTGCATGGGTGGATACAGTCCACAAGCTCTTGTTCCACATGTGATCCTTCGTCAAAACAATGGGCCTTTAGCTAGGGCTTATGAAAGGAGTGTGACCTGTGACCCTCCCAGAACACCAGCCACACAAAGATATTTCACGATTCTTTCCGAAGAACTGACTGATGAGAAAAACGGGACATATATTTAGAGTGTGTCATGAAATATGCAGCTAAGGCTAATTGATAACAGTTTTTTCAGGGAGGTAAGCTGCCAGTAGTTGAATCTTCTTCTGTTCCTGTAGAAGTCCATTGTTGTTACCACTAGAATGCAGAATGTTCCTTTGTTAATTATTTGCTTTTCAGCATTGCAACAAAACCTTTGGCACAGCTAACTGCTGGAGAACTTTCTTTTCTAAATGGTTTGCAGTTCAGACCTAAACAGAGTTCCGCCTTTCTAAGTCCATTGAGGTCATTGGGCATAGAAGGGTGTAACTCTGGTTAGGATTGCACTGTTGGTCTCACTATTGTTGCTGGTATAACATATTTTAGCTTGCCGTAGGTTCCTGCCTACTATGAATTGCCCCTGCCTTCACACTGTGCAGTTCTCTGTCTCACAGAAACAGTTAATCTAAACGGTCGGGTTTCAAAGGACTTCTTCCCCGAACTCTGTTGGAAATAACTTATTCTTTTAATCCTGTATGAAAGACGTGCTTTCTTTTGTATTGTTTCCATTCTTGCTAAGAGCCCTAAATAATAGGGGGGAATTCATTTATTACTCCTTCTTTCTCTCTTTTCCCTTTTCCAGCACCCAATGTACTTTTCCTGATAACATGTACAGCACATGCATGGTGTGATATAGAGATACAGAAATGCAGCCAGTCGGCGATGTTGGCATGCCAGCTAGCAAAAGCCAGCAACTTTACTTAACGTGTTTTAGGGCCTGGGTGTTCAATTACTTCAGGTGCCAGAGCAGCCCTGACCTGGACAACCCAGGCTAACCTGATCTCATCAGATCTCGGAAGCTAAGCAGGGTCAGCCCTGGCTAGTATTTGGATGGAAGACCTTCAAGGAATACCAGGTCCATGACATGGAGGCAGGGAATGGCAAACCATCTCTGAATGTCTCTTGCCTTGCAAATCCACAGGCTGTGTCTTGACATCATTTTTCACTACCACTGCCAGATGCCAGTGAATATTATATGACTTAAAATTCAGATGAATTGTCCTGAACTTTGGGCGTAATCTTGAATTTTGGGTGCACAGAGGGTTTATTTATCTAGGAGTTTTGGATACCAGCTCTCCATAGACCTGCTGAAGGATCAGGAGGACATCTTGGCTTTTCCACCTGTTTTCTTTCTTGGGGCGGGCAGTGGGATGCCCAGCTGTCTGGGGAACATATAATGGTGTTATTCTCATTCTGAGCACAATTTGTGGGGTTCCCAAGGCTTTCCTCTCTGAATTGGCTAAAAGGAAAACCTCCATTGGCCTGGTTCAAAGGGTGGCAGGGGGAGAAGCGTCCATGTGGACATTGTGCCCAGAGCTATTATGAGGACGAGGTGGAGCTGAACTCTGCCCTTCAAAGCGAAGGCTCTGCATTTCTTCCTGTCCTTTTAGCCCTTTACTGGGCAGTTTCTTTCTCAGCTGAGTCATGGTGCAGCTTTCCTAACTGGAACAGGGGCAGTGGTACAACTGCTGTCACTTTGGCAATTCAGCACGATGGAGGGAAAGGGGGAGACATGGAGTTGGAGGGGTGGCACCCACAGCGAGGAGTGCAGGAAGGAGGCATGTGGTGGGAGTTCCCCACCCACTTTCATGCCATTTCTGTTTTAGTGACCTTGTATGTTCTGCTTAGATTGCGATCACACACAATAGTAGATCTGACATAGGTGCAAATGCCTGATGGATCTAAAAGGCGCGATCAGACAGCAACATCTGGGAAGCATCCTGCAGTCGTCGGGAACCCATGCTGCTCCACCACAGAAGCGGAGTAAAAAGTCACCGGAGAAATTCCGGTAGTAAACAGGTTCCAACGGGTCACAGACGGATTTCCCCCTGTCTGATCATGCAAGCATGCAGACATGCCGTCAGGATGGTCTGA